AAAAATTTCATTTTTTCTGAAAAGGTGGTGTCTATTTACTTGTGACCACGCTGTGTTGAGTTTACTTTTTCAAGATGGAGAATTAAATCAGTCAGAGTGTTTTCGTAAAGTATTTGGATCTGTGTTTGCTGTCTTGCTTATTGACTGACTTTATACATGTAAGTTGAATTTGTTTTACGTTAGTTAACATCATTTGTAACCTAGGCCTACAACAATTTACGAAACTGTAAAAGTGCTCACGTTTGCAGACTGGGTACTAATGAGGTATGGCTCCATCAAAGTAAAGCATCCAGCCACAGTCCAAGACAACATGTAATTTTCTCTGCAAGATACAAGCACAATCAGGAATTCTTTATGTTATATGCATTTGGTTTATTGAAATGACCCTCAGATTGATGGAGTTTTGAAAAATAAAAAGAAGAGTGGGATCAGGAACAAGATATTAACTTCAATGTATTGCGCAAAAGCCCCCAGCAGTGAAAACTTGACTGCAGAACAATAATACATAATCAAGGTCACCACACAAAACACCATCATTATTAGAGTAAGGAGCTTTAAGGGTGGGGTATTTCTTGGATTACCAGCTGAGTACAAACTTAGGTCCACGAATAACAGGAGGTTCTCGGATCCCGGGGCTTTGAGATGTATTCCTCTTCGAATTGCAGTTTAATGGATCGTGAAAGGAGCGAGGCAAGACACAGATCCTCAAATACTTAATGGTGCACTCAGCCACTCACAATTTACAAAATGATACAATACAATAAACATTAGTGCAACGAAGGTTGAGCACGTGATCTGCGTGTATGTGTGGATAGGTTGAGAGATGTGTAGAAACTTTCATTGAAGTCTGTCACCAGTTTTCGTAGTAACTGTAACTGTGAAAGATAAAAACACAAGAGGAAAATAACCCTAAGTTGAGCTTAAAAAAATCACATTTTAAGCAAAATGCATTAAAACTCTTGAAACCCACGTCATACTTTGGACTTCACTACAACTAATTTAATTCAAAAACACTTCCCAATATGCGGAGCAAATGCTCTACTAACAACGCTTCACTCTTTACATGAAGCAAACTCTTAACTGTTGGCCTACTTTCAACATAAACAAATGTCTGAGTTACACTATTGTGCCTAGTGATTTTGCTCTAGTTAAAAGTAAACGTAAATGTTTCCTTTATTATATAAAAGGGTTATGAGTTCTTGTCAGACTAAAAGAACAGAAAACTTACAGACCTGTATTATTCACTAAAATCGGATGCAGAGCTTTAAGAGCTCTCTCTACTATTAGCAAAAGAAATATTAGCAGAAACCTAAGTAGCGTCAGCTAAACAAATTAAAAATTTAAAAACAAACACACACACACACACACGGATACAAAACTCGAACTCCTTAGCACAAACATGAACTTAAATGTGCCAATTAGCTTTGACCTTTTAGCACAAAAGCTTATGATTTCCATTAGTCACGTCACCTTAGTAGCAGAAAATGTGCAAATTCATTTCATGATCGCCCGTAGCAATTGTTTGATTCACTGGAAAAGGATAACTTAACTTGCTAATTAAATGCTACACGATCCTGTGAGAAAACCAGATGATCTGCAATTGACATGGAACTTTGCTTTCTTCCTAGAAACAGCAAATTTAGTGAGTTGCTTGAGCTCTTCACTGTGTCCAAAAAAAAAAAAAGAATTACGAAAAACAACATTTTTTTTTTAATTTTACTTTTTCAAGTAAAGGGGTAGGAAACATATAGAATGTTCCCTTACTTCATAGTCTAGGCACTTATTCTTGTATCATTACAATAAATTGTGAACAACTTTCTGTACACGTAACATATATTCAAAGAGTTATTTACAAAGATTAAGAGTGACAACCAAATCCCACTATACAATTACAGTATAGTAAGAGTTAATGGTGGATATTGCGAAATTCCTGCCTCCTCTCTAGTCAATCAGTGCACAATTACGAACAATTAGAGCAGATAGCCCTTATGTAGCTTTGCTGAAATATCTGAAACAAACAATGATTAATGTTTAAACAATTTAAATATAACCGTGTTCCTGTATTTTATTTAGCAAAAAATATCCACGCTCCACTGGTGTGGTTCAAATGCTCCTTCAAGATTCAAAGATACTCCAGTTACCAAACAAGCTTTTCCAAAATCCCCAATTACTTCTACAGCTACCCTAAAACTAACCAACTCATGACACTTGAGCATGTATGCTGCCCTTGATTCTGCTAATTAGTTAGTGAAGGTATTAACACAACTCGGAAGATGATAACTCTGGGATCCAGAAGGGAGCTAGGAACACAAAATCCGATGCCATGTTTCATTTCAGCGACTTTATACCACCATCTTGCCTAGGCGATTTTCCGGTTGTATTTTAGCCTTCCTCTCGTACCCCCAAAATGGGTCCTTACCTGAAATTAAATTCTAATGTTCTCTCTAGCTTTAAGCACTTGCAACGCTAAACTTGTAGATTTGATTCTTCTCTCGGTAGAGAGAACGCAAATAGCTCAACGTGTGACTTTGCGCTAAAATAAACGAATAAACAACTTTAGAAATGGCGTCACCAGGATCCCAAGTGGGCCAGGAACATACAATCCGATACTAAATAGAGTTCAGTTGAGCGACTGTGAACTTATTCCTATATCCCATCATGCTTGAGTGACCTTCCTGGCGCGTTTTAGTCCCTTTGTAGGAGGCTGCGCCATAAGATATGGCCACCCCTGAGCCATCACAAGCCTGTCTACCAGTTTTGATCCTGCTTGCTCCAAAAATGCGGGAAGAGTTTGTGGACAAACACACAAATTCAAAAACGCATAGCGTAAAATAATATTTCTATGGTATTCCATAAATTTGTGTTTTATCTCATTCCATAACTATGGCTTTTAAAACTCGTCTACGTACGAGGGAATATAACATAACGTATAACGATCAAAGAACAATTTTGTTCTTTACGGATATTCTTGAGGAAAAATTAATCCCACCTTTTATTTTTAAGAAAATCATGGATTCTGAACTTAAACTTCTGTATATTTTATTTGGTTTCTAAAATCTTCGATTTTATTTGTTTCATAAAAAAAGAGAGCAGTCGTCAGTTTCAAACATTCTGTCGAATTAGCACAAACTTCATTGTTATTTATCTTTCTTGTTTATTTTTATTGCTTTTGATTTTGTTATTGATAAACATATACCTGACATTTGTAAACGCATGCAAGTGGTAAGAGGAAATTTATATACTTTTATATCTGTGTTTTTAAAATTTTCACAACGTAGATTGAGCCATTTTTAGATAACGTATAGAGGGCACATTAGTAGGCAAATTCATACAACAGTGGTAAAAATTGTTATTCGTAGCAGATAGATAGAAAGTTGGATTTAATTTAATATTTAAGAGTCAATTTTCATTCAGTTGGAAAATATTAGTGTTGTTTTTGAAACAAAACACAATCTTTATCGAGAAGGCATGGCTGCCCGTCAGTTACTCACTGGTCGCTTAGCTCTTGTGACGGGAGGTGGAAGTGGTATTGGCAGAGCTGTTTGTCAGGCTTTAGCTCATGAGGGAGCAAAAGTTGTGGTAGCAGATAGAAATGAAAATGCAGCAAGATCAACTTTAGATACTCTACTTCAAGGTGAATGCATATACTTAATTTCCAATGCGTATTAAATGGAAAATAATAGGTATTTTCAAGAAAACTCCTTGTTTCAGCTGACGAGAAAAACTAAAGTCTAAACCATATACATTGATGGTTTCAATATGTTCAACCATTTTAATTTTTGAAATAACTTAAACTGTTATAGACACAGAACTTTAGACGTTAACGGCTGTACACAAATTGCTCCCTCTTCTCTCTCTCTCTTCTGTCTTATTTTTTTCTCACTTATGACTTGTGCAAATGTGCTCATCATAATAAACAAATGTGGGGAGTTTTTGTCAATGGATTACATGGGACTCGTCTCATCTGGGATATACCAATTTCTACCACCACTTTACTCCAATTTACAGAAACCATGCCTTTCTTTTATTTAACATTGACCTCCAAAATACTTATCCAACTTTTCTTAAACTTCTTCAATGTTACAACTTATAAGTTCTATCACACAAAAACTATTTCATAAGCTAGCACTTTGTTAGAAAAGGAAAACTACTGTACCTCAGCTAGAGTTGTTTTAGTATTCTACATCATAAACTGGAGTCCACTAGCATTACTGCCTGGAACTTTTTTTTTTTATATATATAACATCATCTGGATTTATTAATTCCAAACCCAGAAATACCAGCACATATGCATCTGGACCTACTTTCATGCTAACACATATTAGTAAAATAAAAATCCCACTTTTTTGTTGTAAAATTAGAAGCTTTCCATCATACATTGTGGTTGGTTGACCAGCTGGATCTATGTCAAATTGAGCATCACATTGATCCAGGAAATGCACCAGGTTGCATCATCTTGTTTCAATGAATAAAACATTTTCTGGGGTAGCATGCCTTCATACCCCCTAAGGAGGTGACAACCTACATTACTTTACCATATGCCAAAGTTTTACTCTTTTTCTTTTTTTTTAGAAACATATTCCTAAAATTTAGCAGCTCTACAAACTTCTAACATTCTAAAAACCCCATTCATATTTCCTGAGCTCATCACTTCTATGACAAAAACATATCAAGAGGCTTCAGCCTATTCCCATCATTAAACCCTCTAAATTTGGAAATATGTTTGATAGCTGTTCTCTGAACTTGACCGGCAACTTAACTTCCTTTTTATAAATAAGGTGAAAGAACTGAACCCAACATTCCAAATGTGGTCTAAACCATCACATGCTAGAGTTATCTGATGGCTTCCTTTGGCTTGTAGTTGTACTCATTTCTATGTATACAACTTAATATTATGATTTCCTTAGTATTAGCTAATGTACATTATCTAGAAGACATTAAGAACTTTATAATAGCTTTGTGTTTTAAAATTTTGAATCTCCCCTTTATTTTCAGGAAATTTGAATTTCCTAATATAACCTCATAAGGTGCTGCTATCCATTATTGCTAATAGCATATCATTCCATAAGTCAATTGCCCTGTTAGAACAATGAAACTATTTTTACTGGAGCCTATTGACATTAAACTCTTAGGTACTTCTAGCTGTATTGAAAGTGTTGAGGTGCTACAAAATGATTTAGATCAATTGATAAGTGGGACAAATAGTTGGAAAATGATCTTTAGTTATTATGATTGCAAGGTAATATACCTAGGTTATATTAATTTGGATTGCACACTTAAACTTGAGAATCCACTTACCAGCATAACTAAAGAAAAGGATATTGTCATAGTGATTGTTTAATCATTCAAGCCATTGAGTGCTATTCATTTACAAAACAACATCAAAGATTTCAAACAAAACAAAGACCAATGAAAAAGTTAATAATATTCTTTAATATATCAAAATATTAATAACCAAAATATATGTTTTGTTTTTTATAATATATTGTCACTCACAGACATTTAGGCAACTATACATTGTATTTTTTAACATCAGTCAACAATGTTTTCTTGGATTTATCTACATTAGATTGTAGATTTTGGCAATAGCAACAGATTAAGTGTTTTGTAAATCTAGCTTTGTTGCTAGGTAACTTACCAGTTCAATACATGGGTAAGAGCTACACTGTAGGGTCCCTTAGGGGTGATAGGTGGTCTAATTATCCCCATGTACATGCCAGGTTTAGCAAAATTGTTCTAGGGATTTGCCGGTTATAACCAGACACAAACAGACTTTTGTTAAATAATGATTTGAAGTAAGAAGTATTATTTCAGACATTGTATCTTAATTTTGATTTTAACATTAAAATATCAAACAAAATGGCAGTTTTGTAGCCTAAATAACAGAAAAAGAAGAATCAAAACAAATTTAACACACAATTTCTCATTATGAATGAAAATGCATTTTTGTTACTGTTCTACAGAATTAAAAATGACAAGTATTTTGCTTCACCCTGAACAGTAAGCACCTCTCAGAACAGGTCTATAAAATTTCATTCATCAGCTTTGCCTATTTTTGATTCTAGAGCCATGAGTTTTCCAGAAAATTTTGAAATTTTCTGTATCCTCAGTCTTTGTCCACCAATAAAAATAAATAAATAAGAAATAGGTGTGAGTATTCTTTTCCTTAGGTGTATGAATGTGAAGAAGAAAGTTCAATGTGCAATTTTTAAAAAGTTTGATTGTCAACAATGTAAAATCTGCTCTGTTTTTCCTCTTATCAGGAGTCCCAACAGGTTGCTTGTCCCTAGGAGTCTTCTAGGATCGCCCTCTCACTCCTTCTCCTATCACTGATTTCAAATATTCTCCCCCTCTTGATCATTTGGCTACCTGTTTCTTACACCTTCTTTCTCTCAAAATGTATTTTTATCTATTTCTCACTTGTGAGAGATATTGTTCTGACATTTTTGCTTTGGACATCTTCTCCTCTGTTTATCATAGGGACTGGTTGATTTTTTTTCCTAGACTGCACCTTCCTACCCCAAGACTTGGCTGCTTTGGAGTATGGTTAATACATCATTCTGACATGATCATCACTTTTGTCCTGTTTAGTCTCAAGACACTCAACATCATATTTTCGAACCATAGGATTCCTCAACTTCTCGCGACTTACCTTCTCCAACTTTCAAAGGTTGGATTAAACAATTCATGTGACTCCCCTAACCCTTGTCATTGCTTACACCACATTGTGGTTTCACTTGCATCTTGGTTTTGTCTTTCTCCAATCACCATCCTACAATCTTCCCAGAAGCTCTAAAGAGGTACGTTTCTAATTATTTCTTTTTCTTGCAGCATCTACAAATACAAAAAACAACAATATTATATATACATACCTATATTCCAGAGAATGGAACCCACCACATGACCGGTTTTACTTCTGTCCTGAAATTCACATAAGTATTAAGTCCATCTGCCCTTGCTCAGTGGCTACTGTTGAGAAAGGGCTTTCTACAAGGATGCTGCAGCACTTTATTTACCTTCCAAGTTATACTAGTACTTTCAAACTAAAAACACCACCAGATGTTGGTCAAAAGGAAATATTTAAACAAATGTTTAGTCTTCACTTATCTGTGTCACATGAAGCATTTGTGCATTGAATTCTCCTTTATAGATTTTTTTGTTTCTACTTTTATAGGTTTCAGAATGTCTAAGCAATTAGAAACACAAACTGTGGATATATTGGCAAGGAAAAAAATGCTCCTTCTATTGGTTATATACATTTTTTCCACTACATAAATCTTGTTAAGATTATTCTTTTTGATATGCATACCAGGTAACCATGTTTTTTTTTTATCTGTAATTGTTTTTTCAAGTTTGAGCAGCTTGCAAATATTTTAAACCTATTTATCGCTTAGCTAGAAAGCCAGTTAAGTTATAGTAGTTTTGGAACATTATATTCTAATGCCTGATATATTTTTATGTTCTAAGATGCATATGTGAATGGTACATGAATTTTTATTTGAATAACTAAAATCATGAAAACAAAGGGTGGTTTAGCTTCATGCTCCTTTAATTCCAAATAACGTACATGGCACATGAAGTTGGCTGCTTACCTAATTCTGTGTTTCTTGCCTTTGTCAGAGGATGGTGGTTCAAAATACAGGTAATAAAATAATAAAGTTAAGAGAAAACGTGTGAAAAGGTTAACAGTAGAAACTGTGAAAATAAAAAAGACAAACAATCTACCAAATGATTCTTTCAAAGAAGAGAGAATGTATGATCTTTTTTTATTTCCTATTTTTCAGCTTTTCATTTCACTGTATGTTTATGATTCCTCTGCAGTTAGTATTGGAGTAGAGAAAATAACAGATAGTATAAACGTTTTGTCAAAAACAAAACTTTTGATATTCATTTAGGAGGTGCTAGAGATTATGCAAATGAAGTAGGAAAACTTTTAGAGGAGGTGCTAGAGATTATGCAAATGAAGTAGGAAAACTTTTAGATAAACAGTATTTTTATTCTTAACATAAAAATCATCTTGCACTCAGGTTGACTCAGCAAAGGATTTGGAAATTCACAGACAAATCTTTAATGGAAATACTTTATTAAAAAGTTACGAGTTTTCTTGTATATAAGACTTGTAATATTTAATAAAAACTTGCCAAAATTCATGAAGATATATGTGTGCAGAATTATAATAAACAGTGCTACTATGTATAGCCTCAAAGATAAGGGAATTAGTCCAGTTGGACTGAATTTACATTCAGCATAGTTTGTACATGTACATGTACATATAGTCACAGTTGTTTATTATGTAATATGATATTATCCTTGATTTAATCTATAATTATCTTATATTCTAAGAGCTTGTTGTAAATATAATAATAAATATATTGAAAAATAAATATCATAAAAATATGTTGAAAAATAAATATAATAATAGAAAAAAATATTATAAAATTTCATCTCCATTGGGATTTGAACGTGAGACTTCTACTTTATAGTTAAGCACTATAACCACTGTGACACCTAATCTTTGTAATTGAAAATCAACAAATAATTCAAATCCCTAACTTAAAATATCACGTTATTGTGTTTTTCTTAATATTGTAATATCTTACTCTAAACATGATGAGTTAATTTAAAAACGTTATAAAAAATCCCCACTTGACTAGGATTTGAACTGGAGACTTTCGCTTGAGATAAACCACTGAACCAATTTGAGAGTTACCAACAGAAAGTCGAGCATTACACACAGGGGCTTTTATTATATATGTTAGTACAATTCTTCTCTGTTACATGGCTATGCATTACATATTTCTTAGTACGTGTAGAATATACATTACCGGATTGTGTTTTTAGTACCGTTTGTCAGAAATTGTCACATTTATTTAAACTAAATTGTTATGCATGTGTAATTTACTGTAGGAAATACCAATTTCTGTTTGTGATACGAGGAACATAAAAGTGTTTTTATTAAGGCAAGTTTGATTATTTTCCATTTCAGTCAATCAAAACAAACATGTCATGAAGTTAGTGGATGTTAGCCAGTCTCAGAGTGTGCATAACTTGTTTTCATCCATTAGCCATCAGTTATCTCAAGTACCTGACATAGTGGTCAATAGTGCAGGTATTACTCAAGATGCATTGATAAGTGATTTGACAGAGCAAATGTTTGATGATGTACTACTTGTCAATCTGAAAGGCACCTTTCTCATTACCCAAGCTGCTTGTAAACTGATGGTATCAGAAAAAATACAAGATGGATCATTAATTAACATATCCAGCATTGTTGGAAAAGTAGGAAACATTGGTCAGTGTAATTATGCAGCATCTAAAGCTGGTGTTGTTGGATTAACTAAGAGTGTTGCTAAAGAAGTTGCTAAGTATGGAATCAGGTGTAATGCAATAATGCCAGGCTTTATTGATACTCCTATGATTGGAACTATTCCAGAAAAGGTAATAGAATATTTTAAGAAGCAAACACCATTAGCAAGACAGGGAAAACCTGAAGATGTTGCAGAAGCCTGCTTGTTTTTAGCTTCTCCTAAAAGTAGTTACATAACAGGTGAAGTAATAGAAGTCACTGGGGGTATTTTTATGTAGGAAATATTCCAAAACAAATAATTTTACATTATTTTAGTCACATCTTCTAAGTCATGTTGATGATTAGGCTATATTGTGGAGCTTATTTAATTTTGTTCTTCAGTAAGTTAGAATGTGTAGGAAGTTAGTCGATTACTGTTTTTTTAGTTTTTACTTTTGTCAGCTGTTGATTCGTGCTGTATGTTCTTGTACTGTTTATTTTAGGTTTTTGATTCTGATATATGTTACTGCCCTCCTCTCAAAAATCAGCTGTTCTCATTCATTGCTGCTCTCTATATGCAAACTTTTTATTATGCATGCCACAAGCCTTTTGCACCCCTCTATTGGAATCAAATTATTACAACTTGTCTCTCATGTAAATCATCATGCATCACTTCTCTGCCAGTAGGAGAATAGTACACTCACGTGATGCATAGACTCTCTGTGTGCCTTTACCAAACTATCATTTCTTGTTTGGCAGCACTTGCACTTGGATGTCTTTCTTTTTTCATCTTGATTAGTGTTTGAGATTGAATTAGTTTGTGAAGTGGTTAAATTTTACATACTCAGTTTTTTGTGTTTTTTTAAAGCATTTTGTTATAATTTTCTTTGTTCTAGACACGTTTATTTCTTACTTCAAACGCTTTTGTTGACTTCGGGTGTCTCACATTTGACAGGCACTTTACCATAGGCTTCAGGTGCTAGTGACCCATCAAGAGATTTGTCTATGTTTATTTGCATGGAAATTGAACATTATATGGACCAACCTCTATCTCCAGACATTGCTCATAGTGTTCTTCTGAACCTGTGGAACCTGGGCAGGCTGACGAGGACTTTGATCACATGTTTCCACATCCTGAAATTGCTGTGCTTTCCCAGGATGATTCTGGTTGGGCCTTCCACAGTTGTTTTGGACTTTATTTCTCAGGTATGTGATGTTTTATCCCTTGCTCCCATATCTTATGACCCACATCCTTCATTACTGAATGAATATACTTCCCAACCCTATTTGATTTTTCCCCCATCCCCTGGAGTCATGCTAAACAATTTGCCTCTCAGTTGGGCGATGGCATTAGTATGTCTTGTTCCCCACATGCTTCGGATCAGTCTGCCTTCCATATTATAGGGCTGACTGTCCATATCTTGACCAATAACTGTTAGGTTCAGTTTTTACCCATTTGGGGATGGGCCCCAAATCTCCCGTTAGTCTCACCCATGCCCAATTTTCCTGCCTCTGTCTTACTCTCATGACTCTTTTGTGGTACCTTTCCACACTCAATCTCCCATCTGAGGCTCTTCACAGAAATCCTGAGGGATTTTCTGGGGGCCTCCACTCCCACCTAATCTCCATGTTGGCTCATTTGTTGTCTTCAGCTCTGGCTTTAAAAACGTGGTTTATCTGTTGTTGGGACATTTTAGGTAAGGGATGCAGTTTTAACAAGAACCTGTTTACCTGCTCCTTATCTCCGGGATTTGCATATGGCTCTGTTTTTAAGCCGTTTCATCTTTGATATGGTCACGGAGTCCTTGGAGTCTCGGGTGGCATCTGTCCAGCAACAATCTGCCCTTTCTCATCTGGTAGCTCGTTTATCTCAGTTGGAGCCGAGTGTAGCACCAATTTCAGTTCCCTGTAGTTCCCCTTCCACGCCCTTACCTGTCCCCCCTTCTCGTGGTGCCATAGCTCGTCATTTTTCTTGATGCACAATATACCAGTTCCAGTGGCTACCTGGTAGGTTCAGGGCCAATGGGAGCTTGATTTACGGCCTTTATTCATCAGTGGCATCCTTTCATCACCGATGTTTGAGTTCTTCAAGTTTTGTCAGAGAGCCTCAAAATTTCACTTCTTGTCCCATCCCCTTGTCCCATTACCTCTTAACTTCTCGGAATCCCATAACTTGCCGGCATATATCATAGGCAGTCAGGACCTTCTCATCCACCAGGCTATCGAACCTGTTCCACATCATTTACCGGGGTTTTACTCTCGTTTGTTTCTTGTTCCCCAAAAGACTGGGGACTGGAAGCCTTTCATTGATCTGTCCTGCCTAAATTGATTTGTTCACCTCCCATGTTTCACCATGGAGTCCTACCTCACTCTTCAATGGGCATTTTCTCTGGGTGTTTGGATGACCAAAGTGGATATCTCCAATGCATATCTGCATATTCCAATCTCAGAATGACCTTCGGTTCATCCATCAAGAGGTGGTGTACCAATTTTGTATCCTACTCTTCGGGCTGGCATCTGCTCCTTATGTTTTCTTTTGGGTGATGAGAGCTTTTGCTCTTCATCTTCATGCCCTGGAGCTGCATTTCCCTTTTTACTTGGACAACTGACTACTTCTGGCCCATTCCGAATAGGAGTCGATCAGTCATATTCATCAACTCCTTCTAGAAGCTGCTCGGGTAGGCTGGTTGATCAAATTAAAGAAGTGCTTTCTGTATCCTACTCAATACCTTGTGGCAATACCTCTGCGCGATCAATGGAACCTTGCTCGGGATCCCTTGGGTTTTCCCATAACACTTCCTCCTTCCATTGTAGACGATCTCCTTTGGTGGTTGAACTAGGCTCGCACATCAGCAGGTATACCACCTCCTCCTCCTCATCTGGATTTACATTAGTTTACAGATGCAACCTTCAGGGCTAGGGTGCATGGGTTAATTGTCAGGAGGCTTTGGGCCATTGGTCTTTTGATGAATGGCCTTTACATATCAAGATCCTATAGATCCTAGCCATTTGTCAGGCTATGGATTACTTTCTTCCCATTGCCAGACATTGTCTGGTAATGACCCATTCTAACAATTCCACAGTGGTGGCTTATATCAATCACCAAGGTGGCACCCAGTTGAGATCTATATTTAGTCCATGCACAACACATTCATTTAATTGTGTGTCATGTCCCAGGTGCTTTCAAACTCATGGCAGATCGTCTTTCCTGCCTTAACAAGATTTACCCAACTGAGTGGTCCCCTAATCCTGTCATTTTCTAATGGCTTTGCAATCTGTGGGGTTTTTCTCACATCGATGCATTCACCACTGCCCTAACTCACCATTTACCCCTCTTTTGATCCCCAGTTCCTCAGGCTTTGGCTATAGGTGCCTTCAGCTATCATTGGTTGCACAAGTAACTATATGTTTATCCCCATATCTGACTGCTTCATCAGGTAGTTTCCCTTATCTATGCCACTCTGTTCCAGGTCCTTCTGATTGCTCCCTACTGGCTGGCTCAACCATGGTTCCTTCATTTACTCCAACTACAATTAATCCCTACTGTACCACTTCCATTCTTACCTGACCTTCATCAACCCCAGTCACCAGTTCTGCATCCTGCACTTCGTGTCGTCATCTTCATACCTGGCTTTTCTCCAGTCATTGGCAAGGAGATCTGGTTTCTCCCATCGTGTAGCTTTTCATTTGGCTCAATCCATCCATTCTTCCTCCATGGAGGTTATCAGCAAAAGTGGAAGGTCTTTCACACATGGGCCCTGGCTTGGAGATTATCTGTTGCGTCTCCTACTGTTGCTAGTGTCTCCAAGTTTCTCACATGGCTTTTCAACCAAGGGTCTTCAGTTTCCTCAATTTCAGGTTATTGGACAGCTTTATCCCATACATTTCCCATTATTGCAGGGTTTTCTCTCACCTGTTCTTACTATGTTAATATGTTCCTTCCAGATTCATTTACCTCCTCTGTGACCTGCCCTTTGGGATTGGGACATTAATGTGGTCCTCCATTCCCTTACTTTACCTCTGTTCAAACCCATTTCCTTGTGTTCTTTGTTTCACTTGTCTCTTAAAGTCTATTTCCTTCTCCTTTTGGTCTGTGGGCATCGACAGTCTGACTTGTTTGCCATTGACATTACACACACACACACACTTTACCACCAAACCTATCTTCTCCTTTATCCTGATCACTCCTTCCTATCCAAAACCTAGGTGGCTCATGAGTGTAACTCCTCCTTCTCTCCTATTTCCTTCACTCTCTACCCACATCCTAATCCAGATAGACTTCATGTCCTGTGCTTGCTCTTCATTGTTATAGTACCTGCACAGCTTCCTTCCATGGTTCCCATTTGCATCTCTTTATTTCGTGGCAACCCTCTTCCTCCAGAGATCTCTCCCCTTTCACTCTCACCATATGGGTTCGTCAGTTTGATTCAGTTGTCTTATTCCTCCTTTTCCCCTTCCCACTGTACTTTGTTCTGTGTTACCTCTCATTAAATATGAGACCTCACCTTTTCCCTTGCTTCTCATCTTTGTCAGCCTTTGAAGGAAATCCTACAATCAGGCATGTAGACCAACCCTAACACATTCATCTCCAATTATTTACATTATATTGCGGTTTTGGCTTCCTCAGGTATTCGCCTACCACCTGGCTGTACTTCAGACTTCAGTGCAACTCTGACTCTGGGTAAGTCTTTATTATTACTTTTCTTTCTTCATACCTTCATTACATGGATCCCACTCTGTGGTGAGTGGTGCCTGACCAGATATTCTCTAACTCTAAATCCACACTGAACACCATGTTGACTAGCACCTTCTTTTTCATGGCTTCTCATGCTCACCTTTTAGATGGGGTGTTTCACAAGATCACTTATAGGAGAATAATCTCGCAATGTTTGCTTCAGAACTTGTCCCATCCCAGACTGTACCATCCATGGACTTCGTGTATAAAGCTGCCCAACCTTGTCATGCCTCGATTGAATAAATTGATATGGTCTGTTTTTCAAAATAGGGTTTCATGATTACCCACTGCACTGTCTCGGGTGTCGATGTTCCTTGGGGCTCTCCAATGCATTCTCAGCCCCCCTTCTCTTCTAGTGGAGTATGGGAGTCCTTACCATTTTCAAGCTACAGGGGTGGTCAACCATGGAGGCACTCTGCTGGATGGGTTCCACATAGATCAGGGGTGGGCAACCTTTTTGTGCGTGCGTGCCAAAATCTCTGACACAAAATTCTTCTGCGTGCCAACCAAAATTTTTTTAGAACATATTCCTAAGGTGTATGTGAAGAACCTGAAGAAATGACAAAAATTCACTCGAGCAGTAAAAACACAGTATATGATGATGAAAAAATACATTTATTCATCTTCAAAACAACGTCCAAACAACAATAAATC